GTTGTATAGACCAGTTCCTGTGTTAGATCCTCTCTCCAACCCAGAGCGGATCTGAGCACCTCAGACTCCAATCCATAACATCCCGTGCCTGGAGCAGGGCAGCTGCCTGGAGCTGCCATTAGGAAGTCTCCAAGGCAGGTACTATTCCTTTTACTAAAGGCAGTCTTACCATCCACTCCAATTTTGCCATCTCCATCACTATCCCCTGCTGCCAGGAACGCCTTGGTCTCAGCGTCAGTCAGAGCTCTGGCACTGGCAGAGAAATGCTTCAGGAAAAGTCTGTTAAAGGAGAGAGGACAAATGACTGAGACATGCTCAGTGTTGGAAGAGTTTGGGGTTTGATACTGGCAATAGCTGTAAAATGTCAAGCCTCATTCAGTTCTGCAGACTGTTTCAGTGGCAAAACTTCCTCTAACTTCAGTGAGAGTAAGGGTAAGAAAGCAAGAGTATGCTGCATCACAACATGTACAAATGCTTGATGGCATCTTGGTTTCACTGGATTAAAAAGGCAAAATTAACACTGGCTCTGCAGTGGCAGGAGTCGTCTTCCCTTCCTCATTATCTTCCTTCTTTATCCTAAGATGCAGATCCTCGAGAGTGACAAGAATTTCTCTAATCTTACTTCTAGCTTCAAAGCTGGATGAATGTGATCTGGAAGGTAGAATTCATGTGACAGAAAGAAAGATGAGAGAAAAATAGCCCTTTGAATTCAGTCTAGTAAAGATTCTTGCAATAATAAGAAGCAGCTGTAGCAGAACTGCTATTTTTATCTTCACAGTCTGTCAGTTATCACTACATGAAAGAAATTTTTTTGGTGCTGTCAGAGAGTTTTCTCGTTGTGATCCAGCCTTGCCTTTGTTATTTGAGTTGCAGCTCCTCCAGCACAGGCACTCACACATGTGCACACCCCCCCCATTGTCTCATCCAGAGAGAGAGAGAAGGAAAGGGAGTATTTCTGATCTTGTTTTTAGATGACAGAACACAATCTTGTTGGTAACTCATTTTTTTAATTTACTTACTTCAGTTCCTCTTCCTCAATAAATCCACTCCTGTCCTGGTCAAGAATGCTAAAGACTTTGGTGAGTTCGTCTTTGGACTTGGAGTTGAGACCCACTTTGACAAAAAAGGTTTTGTAATCAAACGAGTCAGCAGCTGAAATAAGCAGGAAGGGGGAGAGAAAAGTAGTTAAAGATCTGGAATCAAAAAAAAATTAGCTTTTTGGTCAAAAACCAGCAAACTATTCTGCAGTACAGTGAGGGTCATCACAAACCCCAAGTAACAACCTTTGATTTTCCTGACTTTACATCAGATTAATGGGATTTTTCCATCAATGATGTCTCAAACCTAGGAATATAAATAATGGCTCTGGTCTTTATCATGCAAGAACATACATTTGTAAATAGATACTTCGCTCAAACATAAATTCACAGAACCTGACGGTAAATATTTTATTGAAATCAGCAGTATTTTTATTATTATTCTCTGAAAAAACAGGATTTCTGCCTCAGGACTTCAGGCATTGGTTTTTTTCATACTTAATACTACTACAATGCACAAGTGATAATGGGTTCCTGTACCTTGGCAAAGATTAAAACTTGCCTCTCTTCCATTACCTTGCCTCCTTTATCTCTTTCTCAAACAGCCTTTTCTGTTTCTATTGGAATTGGGACCTTGAGGTAGTGGGGACAAAAGAATTTGATAGCTAAACTGAGAAGCCAAATTTAACCCATAAATATTACCTTGACAGCTCTGTAGGCCAGCTGCAATTTCAGCTTCTGTCAGGATACCAGAAAGAGCCATGGCAAAGCTACTGCAAAATGAAAAGCACTGTTGGGCAGAGTTCCCACTGCTCTTGCTCTCCCAGCCCGTGGTGCCCAGGAGGACAGACAGGTCTCCCCAGGGGGGCATTTGCAGCCCAGGTCCAGGGCAGAGCAGGGGATCTGCCCTGCAGGAGCCAACTGCTCCATCCTTTAGTCCAGATCTGTGTCCCACATCTGACTCACTGTTATTTCTAGTTAAGGCTTCAGGTGCCCAAGCTGAGGAGAAACTCAAAGGTATTTGTAGAACTGCCCAGCATTTGGGGATCTCAGGTTATTTCCATGCATTCTTTCTGTGAATTATTGTGGTGTCTTCTAAAGCTCCAAAGGAAAGATTGAACTCACCTTGCCTCTTAGTTTCCCCCCAGCCAAGAAAATTTTGTAAGGCAAAAAATCTGCAGAGTCCTCTTGACTTAATTCTTGTTCAAATGGCAGAGATAACGACTTATATAGATTTTAATTAAGTCCTCTTGACCTTTTACAGAAGTCCCAGAGCCACGTGATGGCTCAGATACCCCAGGGGATAAGTTACTGTGACTGACAAGATGTACTAGCTAATCAGATTGATATTTATATCCCAAAGGAATGCACATACTGTTTTAGACAATATGGAAATTTTAGTGCCACATAAAGTAAATCCTTTCAGCTTGCACCTATTTTATTGAAGTAAATTACTTTTGATGTGTGATTTAAAAAAATATAATTTTTTTTATAGCTTAATGATAGCAACAAATGGGCATCTTCATGGGACACTTTGACCTTTGAGGACCTGATCCTGATGGGAATTTCCCATGAAGCATTACTCCTGCAATTGCCCTAATTGTCTTTAAATAATACTAGCACTGGTACATTTGTAATAGATATATCTGACACATCTAGGAATCTAGCTTTGCCTTTATTTCAGATTACTAGGGAATAATTGAGAGTGTGGCCTGGGTTTAGAGAGGATCTGATAATTGTGTCGGAATTAATGAACATGCAAGAAGTAATCCTTGTGAGAAGCCCACACTGAGATTGCAAAGCCTTCATGGATAGAAGTTTTGGAGTATCTCTGTGGCAAACCAGCGCTTGCCCGTAGGTGGCACCAAAGACAGACAAGTCCAGCCGTGACACCTCTCCGGGGCTACTTGGGGTGAGGGAAAACGGAGGAACAGAATGAGAACAGGGTAACAGGTGTAACGGGGTGTTCAGCAGGGAGGAGGAGAAGGGGAAGGAGCAGGTATTTAAAACAAAAAAGTCTAATCTACCAAATCACTTGAAAGACAGGAATATAAAAGACTGAGCTGAAAACTCTGAAATAACTCCAGAGGACTCTCTTTCCATGATGATTACGAAGAACAGGTTAGTTCATCCGTCTAACAAAAACAGGTTTTACTGTGTTTATTTTTATGCTGGCCAAATATTCGTGTCTGTTATGGAGATCACTGCAAATATAAAATCAGTGTGTTCTATAGGCCTGGGAGTTAGAGCAGAGAGTTGGTATCCAGGAAATACAGCTGACTGATATCTAGTTGTGATGGAACTGATGTGATTCCCTGAGTCAAGTATTCACGTGTTCTACTTGGACATAAGTTCCCCCTTGAATTGAGGGTCAGTAAACACCTTTGTGACTGCAGGGTGAGGCATTGTTTCAGGGTACCTTCTTTGATATCATAACTGCTGTGCTGATCTGATTTTCTTTTCTGCAGCTTGATATACAAACCCTCTGATTTTCTTGTTTTCATGAGTGTAGGACATGCTGACAAACAAATCCAAAGTCATGGAGCAGCCATATCCCAGCTGCTGGTGTGTTCTGTAGGCCTTCAGCACAGGAAAGGTACCAGGCAGTCCATACCAATGGAATGGTATTTTTCTGTGCTTGGAAGCAAAAGTAACATGGAAATTAAGCTTCATAAAATGTAAACACTTCAGTTCATATTCCACAGTTCCACTTATTAAAATGTTTTAAAATGCATGAAAAATTAAACATGAAAATGCTAGGTACGTGTCTGTTCAGGGATTTAATCAAGATGTATCTATTTCAGTAACCAATTCCAGGAAATTAATCCAGCCTTGGCCCCCTCTGCCCACACTGTTTGTGTGAAGAGCTCCAGGCGCCTCTGATGATGCTGCATCAAAGATTTTCCACATGGGCTGGCTGCTAACTCAGAGAAGAAACTTTACCAGTCTATGTGTGCAATGAATGTTCTGACATCCCCTTGCCCTTTCTGTGCTCTCGTACTTGTTAGAAGATGACCGTGAGATTTTGAACAGTTGGAGAGCTGAAATCGAATCTGAAGTTTACAAGTGGCTCTAGGTTGGGATTTCCAAAGGAATATGAAGTTAGGAGGCAGCCAGCTTCCACTAAATATCAGGAGATTTTAACTTATGCAAGGTTCTGCTCCTTTTTCAAGACAACCCAAGATTTTGGTTTGTGAGAGATGATGGATTCAGTGGCTAAAGCACTAGGCTGGGTTAGGGATATTGACCCTGGCCCTTTATATCCTTTTTTTAAGAAGTTTGTGTTTTGTTCCCTTTAAAGAGATCATAGTACATCTTTATTTAACGAGAAATATAGGGAGGATTAGAAATACAACCTTACAGGGTGATCAGGGATTGAGGTGTTTGAGAACTCACAGTCTTTGGGCTTAGTGGAACTCAGATCTGCCACTCACATTTTGGATTGCTCTTTAGTTGTCTTAAGTAAAGGTAAAACACATGAACAACATTTCTTTTATCTTGGGAATTATGAAGCAGTATTATACAGAGTATTACACTGAGTAGAATGGTTTTACTCTAAACCTGAGAACAGGTGTGAAAATCAGTGTGAAAATACAGGGGGTTGTTGTTGGATCCTTTCTGGTTTGATGTAGAATAAACAATTTCTAACAGAATTTTGGTATTTAACTCTATACTCAGCAGTGTTTTATTTGTGTAAGTCATTCAAAAAAGCTGGATGCAGAGAATTGAATCCTTACTTATCAAATTGCCCAAAAGGGTTATGGAACCTCCATCCTTGAAGATACTCAAACTCAGCTTGAGCTACCTGCCCTATGGTGGCCTGGGACCAGAGAACTCCAGAGAACCTTTCCAGCAGGAATTACTCTCTGATTCTGTACATCAGTTGTGGTAACACTGTGATACCACCACATGTCTCTGCTCCTTCAGCACATTCACAGAGACCTCCTGCAATAGAAGTGTTTCTCGAACACAACGACCTTGTCAAATTCAGAGAATGCTCCATGCTCTTCCCTAGGAAAACTGAAGGCTGTCACTGGCTGAAATTAAACTAATTGAAATGAGCCTTCCCAGAAAACTTTATATTTTTTGAATTTGTTTCCTTTACTTGAAAAATACTCTTTTCTATCTTGGTTAAAATGTGGATTCCAGTGCCAACAAAATCCTTAATAGAGAGCAGGTGGTGTTTTTGCTGAACAGTCTATGGGATTTTTTAGAAATTGGGGACTTTTTTGAGTTTTACTGTAATTTCTTCTAATGAAATGGCTGGATGGTTTTAGTGAGATTTAAAACACATCTTCTTGCCACAGGTTAGTGTTTCAGAAGAGCGGATTTTCTCGTAAGCGTAGTGAAGTTACAGCACACAGAGGAGTGCCTGATTCTCGGGAACACCTCATCCCCCTGGGGCAGCAGAAGGCAGGGATGTGCAGTTGTTCAGCATCTCTGAAATACAGGATGGGCCACTGTGCAGTGTTGCATTTCTTGCATTCCACATGAGACTCTCAGAGGTGGAAGGAATGCAGCATCAGGTCTGTCACTTATTGTGCTGGGGGTGCTGCCTGCTTGTGAGCCAGTGACAGGAGAGTTGGGAGATCAGCTGTGTGGGGAGCCAAAGTGTGTCTTACATCTGGATATTGCTGCAGGGCTGGATTGCTCGGGGGTTTTTTCTTCAGCGGGGAAATGAATAAGGTGAAAGGAACCAACAGAGTCTCATCATTATGCAAAATATTTCTGTGCTGCAATTAACAGCAGCTATAATTTAAGCCCAGATTTAACATCAAAGGCAGTTGGGATAGAATTAGGATTTATGTTCATTATAATTCTGCCAAGGCTTCAGTGAGTCTGATTGCTGGAATTCCTCTTTTGCATTAGCCATCTTAAATCTGTTGACCAGCTCTCCTACAGGCCTGGGTATGAGGGAGCTGTACTTGCCTCACATAATCATCTTGCAACTCATGGAAATGCCAACACTGGATGTTACATAAAAGTTCCAGAAGGCTTTGTTTCTTCTCTTCTTCAAAACAGCTGCCAAATTATAATTATCGTTCAGCTTCAGTGGGGAGTGTTAAAATGACAGTCAGTCTGTGAGCTGGAACCACAGCACGGGACAAGGGGAAAGAGGCAGAGAAGTGTTGGGGGGAAAATTTCCAACAATCAGCCAGAAATGCCCAACATCCCCTCACTCTGCTGAGCTCTGCATTTAACCACAAACATTATTTACTTGGCCCATTAATGAAGACAGTGCTGTAACCAGCTCTAAATCCTCTAAGACACTTGTCAAAGGGAAGACTGGTTCTTAGTAGTTTTCAGACTGAAGAAAGTTGCTAAATTATGGAATATATAGATGATTATTCATATAATAAATGAAAGAATTGAGTGATAGCAATTATTTAACAATGTGACAGTGCTTCAAGGGAATCAAGCAGCAAGACTGGCTGTTGTTTCATCTGTAGGAAACACAGAAATTCACGGATGTGGCAAAGGATTATTGTTTTGTGCATATTGAGAGACAATAAGCAACGTGGTCATGATTCATGGAAAACCCTCCAGGCCCGTGGCCCAGGTTGTCAGGGGACTGTGACTTGTGACAGTGTCAGACTGGGATTAGACCCTTCTCCTCTATCTCACAGCTGCCTTAGATTTCATGAGAGATAAATCTTCTTAAGGGAGAGTTACATTTTAGGCCATAAACACTTTGTGAGGATACGTGCTGTAACCTAGTACTTTATTTTGTAAAATTACCCACAACCTTATTCTGTGCTTTGAGCTATGTGTCAACTCCTCTTAAATTTTTTTCTCATATTTTCAGGGTTGGGACTGAATTATTTTTAGCCATCTTGTTAGCAGTGCTTTTCCTCAAGGATCAGAGAATTAAGCAGAAATAAACCTCAATGAAATCAGTACAATTAAGCCTTAGAAGATATCATATTGTTTAAGATGATCCAAACTGCATCTGGCGAGTCAGCATGCTCAAGTATGAGGATGGAGAACCTAAACAAAATTTAAAAAAGTAGCTTTCCCCCCCACCCCCCGAAGTTCTTTTTGTTTGGTTGGTTTTTTAATTTTTTTCTCCCCTCTTCCGGCCACAATTTCAACATTATCAGTGCTTGAAAATCACAAAGTGCCTTCTTTACAATGGAAATGTAGCAAAACCACATGACCAAAACATTGCAAGATTTCTCAGTGATCCGGGGTGGGAATTTCGTGTGTGGGGAACTGTTAATGCCTGAAACAATATAAAAATGTACAAACACATGCTGAGTGCGAAGTGCTTGTTGGACGAGGTAATTGGAAGAGTCAGTCCAAGGTTGCCTTTGGTCTAATGCTGTTTATGCCTTCACCAGAGACTGGAATTCTGTCAAGGAAGAAAATGAGAAGGCAGGGAATAAAACTAGATGATAATGTTTTTTGACATCTTTAAAAAGATAGATAAAAATGACTTAAACTCCTAAGCATGGAGGGCCCCCAAAGTTATTATAACACTGCACAAGCTACTGCTAAACTGAGATTCTGGGGGCGTAACAGATTTTTCACTCCTCAAAAAGAGTAAGTGCGGAGAGGAGGAGTGTGTCTGTAAATTCACATTTGTGGGAAATCCTGAGTTATAGGTAAACTATCTTTACCCCATTACAAACTCTGATAATAGCCAAGGAAGCAGAGCCTGTAGCTCTCAGTGAGAGGGATTTTTTTGTTTTGTTTTGTTGTTCCAAAGAAAAAACATCAGTAGCGATGTAATTTCAGATGGGAGATTCAATGGTTAAGGGCTAAGATCTCCATAATACAATGCCCTATTTGGGGCTTATAAACAGAAGCTGCAAAAGCTGCTGCTAAAGCAAATTCCTCCAACAGTGTATCTCTCTCTCCTCCCAAACTCTGGCTAAGATTAGCACGTGTGTCTGTTGGAGTTATTGCCACCTGTCCTAGTTCAGCTGAGACAGCCCTGTTTTCAGTGACTTCATCTCTAATATATGATGCATAATGTCCTATTTTTCTGTGCTGCAATTTCTAAAAGAAATATCCTGGCTAGTTCACATCATCCCTGTGAGGTTTTCTCCAGGAATTTGGTTTAGTTTCTCCTAGGAGGACTGCCTGATGAAACGTGCACTTAGCAGATGACTCTCCAGCACAAAATCCTGTGCTGCATTGCAGCAGTTGCAGCCTTGAGAAACAACACCAGTCTTATTCACATTAGTGAACTAACCACTCAGTAATACTGGCACTGTTTGATAGTGGTAGATGAGGGAATACGTTTATGTAGGTGGAAGTGTGTTTAAAAATGAAAGTGTCAGATTGCCAGAAGTGCAGAAATGGAAATTTGGAGATGTTTAGGTGTTCAGGAAGTTTTAAGGATCTGGCACATTGAGTCTGTGGATCAGACACACAGCAGGATTAACCCCAAAGCTCTTATTATGGGCTGGAAAGACCAGACTCTACATAGGGCCTAAATATTCTGTTGGTGCAACAGAGACCAAATGGGAATAAAGTGATGAAAACAAAGGAGTATTTGCTCATATAAAACCTGTGGCAGAATTATGAGGCTGAAGTATTCAGATGTGTTCTTCATGCCACAGTTCAAATGCAGCCTGAAATGTGTGGATTTTAAACCACAAACTTTATCAAGTTTCCAGAAGTCTTACCTTCCACTCCAATTTTGCCATCCCCATCGGTGTCACCTGCAGCCAGAAAAGCCTTGGTCTCTGCCGAGGTGAGGACTCTGGCACTCGAAGAGAAATTCTTCAGGAACAGCCTGAAACAGGACAGGGGAGAGTGCTGGGCTGGAGTTTTATTCTCTGAAATGTCCCATAAGGTAATGCCTGCTCTTATTATCTGAGGAAACCCACACAGATTCAAGGAAAGACGACGAACTGCATTTTATTTTTGAAAGAACAAGTTTCTTCTAGGACACCAGGCACATTCAAAGGTTTACATTGCTTAAAGGAATAGAGCAGCTGAACAGTACTTACTGCAGCTCCTCTTCTTCAATGAAACCACTCTTGTCCTGATCAAGGATTCCAAAAACTTTCTTTATCTGATCAGGAGTTTTGCTGGATAAACCAACCATGGAGAAGAAAGACTTGTAGTTGAAGGAATCATCAGCTGGAAGAAACAGAAGTCATTAAGTATTTTCTCTTGAAGTGTCTACTGTTGTAGACACTTATTCCTTGTGAATATGTGAATGTTGTAGACACATATTCCTTGTGAATATGTATGTCTTTTCTTAAGCATCAGCCTGCTTCTCTTTCTCTTATTCCTTGGTGTAGCAAAAGAGCAGATACAGTGGATAATTTCCCTTTCTAATCACCCTGTGCCTGTGGTCGTATATCCTTTCAGCCAGTTTGAAGTTTTCTGCCACAGCCCACATTCTGCTAAATCAGGATTTATGCAAAGTGTCACATGCAATTAATAATAAATATTTAGAGGGTGCTACTATGCCCTATGAAGCAACTCTCATAATTCTTCCCTCATTTTCACTGAGTCCTTACTTAGGTGAAGAATTTGGTAGAAAAGTAAGTAATTCACAGACGAATCAGATCTTTGAATATTTGGAAAATGGGCTTGATCTTGCTGAGCAGCTCTCAAGAGGACTGAGGCTGGTCATTGTTTCACAAATGACACTTTGATTCTGCGAACTAAGGCTTTTTTTTTTAATTGTTAAGGAAAAAGCTGACTATTTAAATATAAGTCTTTAACAGGTTTAAACATTGACAGAGTTAAGCCAGCTCTAGCCGAAACTGTGGCCCTTTTAATTGGTGCTCACCACTTGTGAGACTTTCTGAATTTAAGGGGCTATACTGTAATGTAGCTTAGAAAGAGATCTCACAGGGAAGGAATCTAAGGGGAAAATGATAGGCATGTCATCTTAAGACATAAAAATGGTATGCATCTTCTGTCTGCAGAGCGACCATTCCTTACCCTGGCAGCTGGAGAGAGCAGATTCAATATCTTTAGCAGAAAGGATGTCAGTGATGGCCATTCTTGAACTGTAAAATAAATTAAATGTGAGCTACTTAGTCATTAAAATGACTTCTGTACCTCTTTCATGACTCTATTTGAAGTTGCTGCTGTGACAGTATGTGATAGGGGAGACATTATTCATCCCCTGGTAAGTGGAGCACAGTGTGGCAGATGAACAGATGTCTGAGCAGGTGCTTCCACTGAAAGCTGGGTAATGAGGGAGGAATTCTGCCTGTGGAGCGTGGGGCTTCAGGAGGATCTGCTGCCTGTGCTGTGCTGGGAGGGAGAATCAAAGGTGTCTAGCACCACAAAGCTTCACGACTTCTGTGTGGGTTTTCCTGGAGGTGGATTATTACTCAAATAAAACCAGCATATATTTACAGCACACATAAAAGATAAGGCTCGGAATGTCCCCGAGAACTATATCTGGAATAAGTGTAATTGGAATTTAAAAAACCCTAGTATTATTATCAATAGATAATTAGAGATCTTTACAGAGAATGAAAATATTACGGTAGAATTAGTAACAGTGATTTTACTCATTTCAAGGAAGTGTAAATTTGGAGAATAAGTTCCTCCTCTGTTTAGTTGCAACAATGACTGTGTTGCTGGGCTGCTGTGCCATTGAAAGGCTACATCTCATGAGAGCTTCATAGAAAAGTTTCTAAGTATATTGTGAGATGGGGGTTTTTTTGCATTTTATGTGATGATAAAAAACTAGATTTTCATCCAGATTTCGGCATTTCAGTATATACTGCTGTGTTTAGAACAGAAGTATTGAGGCTTAATATTCATTCTTAGTAGAGTGGAGAAAGTGTTTTCTTCTGATACAGCAGCATTTCATTTGAGAAGAGATACCCTTTGTCCCCTTCAGCCACCAACAGCTGCAGTAGTTTGCCAGTGTAATATAGATCACTTAACAAAATGCTATAATGCCTGAATTTCTAATAAGTTTTTTATGAATTTCTAATAAGTTTTTTAGTGTGAACATAACACTGATGAATTTACAGTTTGGTAAACTGCTCCTACCAAGTGCAGACTGGTTACAATGTAAAACTTGCAACATTACTGATAATTCATGTTAATGAAAGAAGGGGAACTAAGGCATAGAAAAGTTATCCTTGAAAGCCACAAGAGAACACAAATATCATTTCATTAATCCCAAACTGGTCATCAACAACATCGTTCTTCCTGTCCAAGCATGGAAAGCAGCATTTTCATGAGAAGGAATCCACTCCTGGAACCCATTTATGGTCTGTGCACTGGTTTGAGATCTACACACAGGTTTAAACTTAGCCTAAAATATGAAATGGCTGAACCTGTACCTGTTGGTTTGCAGCAGAGGGAAATGTCAATCGTTTTAGTCCTTTTCTGAATATCTCAGAAAGTGTAAGAAAGCAATGGGACAAATTGCCACTGATGGCAGTGGCTACTTCTCCACCTCAGGCAGCTAAGTTACTCTTGTTTCACTAGTAATTATTTTGTCCCAACTGCTTCTTGTGCAAAATTCCTCCTTTCAGCACCAGGCAAGATAATTTGGAGCTCAGCCATTCATCTAATTCTCCCTGCTGACCGGATTAAACACGGAGAAGAGTTGAAGGAAAGTCTAAAAATGGCAGCATTTTTTACAATGAGCATTGTTCCAGTCTTGTTCCATCCTATGATCCAAATGCTGATTCTATTCTATGTTAGCTTATGAAGATACAACAGACTGGAAGCTGAGGTAAGAACAGATATTTTAATTGCACAGGGACTTCCCATTTAGGGAGCATTTGCTTTTGTATTTCTTCTTCTGAAAGCAGAGGATCTAATCAGCTTACCTTTGTGGTCTTCTTGGCTGGATAAGGAAGCAGTCAGGTTGAGAGGAAGGTACTTGCTGTGTGTTTCCAGCAGAGCTGGACTTGCATATATATACTTTAAGTTGTATACCATATACAGATTTTAGATTTCAGCGTCACGAAGGGGGAATGGTGTCAGATGAACTTGCCTAACTAATCATCTTGCACTATTTTTATCTCAAGAGAATACATATGATATTTGCAAACGAAACAAGATAAGTGGCCAGATAGACAAAAAGAACAGTCATGTTAAATTTCTTCTGATTTAAGCAGAAATCACCAACTTCTCTGTATGATGTAGGGCAAGAAACCCTCCCACTATCTGATACACTTGATCTGAGGAGTCAGATGAAATGAAGCAGAGTAACTTCTGAAGAGATGACTTTAATGAATGTTTAAATATGATAACGTGTTATCTTATCTGCAGACACTACGCGTGATAGAGTTTCATTGTTAGAGCACTAAACAAAATAAATTAAAAGTATCCTGTTCGAGTACTGTTTGTGCAGCAAACCATTTAGGGAAATGATAGCCTTGTTGATAGCCTTCTTGATATCCCAGAATGTCTGATCTGGTGTTTTGAAAAAAATGCCACACAGTCACTTTGTTGCTACAGGAGGTAAAATAATATTATGTCAATCCATCGGAACAGTTGGTTGGGGGAGGGTATTTCATCTGTTTCCAGAGAAACTCTTACAATTCTGCAAGGTTCTGACAACCTGTTTAGTTGGGTATGTGTGAAGCAAAGGGGTTGTCATCTACCCAGCTGTCTCAGAGACAAAAGTCCCTGAGCTCTACATGAAAGATCTTGGCTTTCAGAATACAGAGAAAAATGTTGATAGCAACATCACTGCACAATACGTGAAGAGTGTCTTTGCAGTTTGTCAGCCTGCCTTCAATCTCTATTTTTTTAAAAATTGTTTGGACAGTTGCTGTTTCCAAAAGTCCCTTTGTGCAGTTGCCTTTTTCATAGAAATATTTTGGTCATCTCAATTTCCTTCCATGAATGCTGCAGCCTCACTGGGTGAGGAACCTGTCAGCTTGGATCTCACTTGTGTCTCCAGGCAGCAGAACAGTGAAAGACAAGTCATATGGATGTCAGCACAAGGGATCATTATGGCCAGGACTGAGGGGTGGTGAGGGATCACAGTGCAAGTGGCATCACAGCTTGAGGTGGTGGCGCAGGAAGAGGTGACGGTGCAGAGACTGTCTCAGTGTCAGAGACAAGGCATCTTTTTCCCAAAGCACTTCCCCCTAAGATGGAAGGCAAACTCAGCCAGTCACTGATGCCAGTCACTAATAAATCATAGGGTCAGACAGCAAAGTGGCAAATGGGGGGTACCTACGAGACCTTAATGCATCCAACACTGAGGCAGGTGATCAAAAAGTGACAAAAGACCAGGGAAAATGATTCTGTGTGTGGAGGAGCTGTTATTTCATTTATAAAGATAAGAAAAGTTATTGCTACAAGTTTTTTATCATTTTACAAATTGTGTGTGTATGTCCTCCATGAAAAAGTTTCGGACACCGATAATTCTTATTCAGGGAAGAATCATTGTTTGAGAATGGCTGTGGAAGATTTCAGCTTTCCCCATTTTCTGAATGGGTTCTTGACCAGCTGACGCTGAAAAAAATTCCAAGAAGAATTTGATGGATAGATATTTAATACTGGCTCTTGTCACTGGTGACATCTGGTAGAAGGGATACAAATATCACTTTCCCCCCTCAAACTCTTCTAAGAAATTATTACAAATGAGAAAAAAATTCCTCTCCCTTTTACACACACCACCCTTTTCTCCCCCTCCAGTTCGGGAAATTGTCCACATAGTGCCAACAACTGATGTGCAGTACGTGGAGCATCCAACACAAAAACCAATGGCATGATATGACCTAATGAAGCTAAGTTAAGAGGAAGGCCAAATTCTGCTGAAACTCTTGGACTGCAGGAGTCTGCACGGGAATTTGGTCTCTGGTGTCTGTTTCAGAGAATGCATTTGATTTTAGATGCTATGGCTTCTCATTTTGCCCAGAGCTAATTCCACATATGTTAACCCCTCGCCCCCACTCTTCCCTTTAAAAATAGCATTGATTGCTGTTATTTCCCTTAATGCCTGTGGACTGTTGCCATTAGTTTGAACTTTAGTATGTGAAGCACATAAGGATGCAGTCTGTAAAAGTGTGCTTTGTTTTCTAAGAGGCTTCAGAGAGGTGATTCCTTTTGTGCCCTGAGGTTTTAAGGATAAAGCATGTACATCAAATGATTTATGGCTCTGGTCTGTTGAGCTGTATTCAGACTCCAGCAGATTTTGGAGTCACTTTTGCAGTGAGATTGGAGGCACTAGAGATCCAGAACATGTGCACTGATGAAATGCACAGGAATCATGTAACTATTTACAACCAGCCTCCAACAACCATTTTCTTTACAAGCCCTACGTTAGAGATTGCAAAAACATCTGTCTGCTCACTTTTACTTTCTTAAATCAAATACTGTTAATAACTTTCCAAGTTATTGGAAGGGAAGTATGAAAAAGTAAAAAGAAAATATCCCTTTTGGACCATCAGGTTACCACTAAAAGCATTTTTAAACCCTGGGATTTGGCATTTCCCTTTGCTCAAGGCTCATTGCCTTCTGCAGGCATGGTCTTGTTTTATTCTTCCCATTTTCAATCTTAATTCTTCTGACACTTGAAGTTTCCTCTCCAGGTTGAAAAGCTGTATTTCAGGTCATCATAAATTCTGGGGTTGTTCTATAATCTATTCTTGTTATTCTTCTTTGAGTGTTGATGTAAATCATGTGTGCAATGGAATAACAAAAGTGCAGCTAACAGTAGTGAGTGCCTGCTTTAATTTAAATAAGTGTGACCTTGTATATGCCTGAGATAATTTTCAGATGAATGAGATGAATGCTCCTGATAGGGGTATCCATAGTCACGAGTCAAGGAAAAGGAATCACCTTACATAATGTGTTTAACCTATTGCCAAATGACATGTGAATAGAGAAAGTGGGATATTCATTCAGCTTGTAATTTGCTTTGGGAATATATGAGATGAAAGAAAGAGTATGAATGTAATTTAATGTAATTGTATGAATGCATCATGCTCCAGTCATTTGAGGAATGTAGCTCTTGGAGTGATCTGGAAATATTTGTCACTAGTTCTAGAATTCAATTACTTAATCTCCTGTCTGTAGATACCTCGTACGTAGCCTCCAGTAAAATGCTGAAAAAATAAAAAATGCCAAAACAGTTGCTGTGGAGGGAGGAGGCTGTACATGGGAAATACACCAAATAACATCTGGTTTATTTTTGCAGACTTGAATGAATCATTCAAGTCATTCAAGTAATTTAGTTTTCACCAGCTCTCATTCTAGTGTGACGTGGGTCCAGCCTCTGAGGTAGATTTTCAGGGATTCTGAAAGTTTTCAGCTTTAAATGCCCATTAAAGTGTAAATCCACCAAACACCTTCAGTCATATTTTTCTTACATGTGTAAAGCATAACTTTTAAGCCAACTGGATCGATTACAATTTCTGGTTCTGCATATATGAAATTTGCAAGAGGAAGTTTTAATCATGATTCTTAAATTTGAAAGGAGTTTGGTCCAGATATAAATTCTATGTGAATTCTCAAGCTGTAGCTTGAAACTTTTGGTCCTGAATTCAACATTTCCAGTTTAGTTCCATTTCTAAAAATGTCCATTCATTGATGCAAAAAAAGACTTTTTTTTTAAGAAAGAAATTCTCATAGACTGATTTCTGAAATGATAGATACCTGGGTCTGTTAAATATAATACAATCATTCATAAACAGACAAGATACTTCAACCTCCAAATAACTCTCTCCATAGTTTTAAAATTACTTGCAGCAAGTGTCAGAAAGCCTATAGAATCAATAATATTCCTGCTTTAATTCTGAAGCAAAAAGCTCACTATTTTTGAAAGTATCCTAATAAAAGTGCCAATAACAAGGTATGTGTAGGATAATAATGGTTTTTGAGTAGAAAATAAAGCTACTTCTGTCAAGGCAACCTCCTCTAGCTAAGCTGGAAGCAAAAATATATGCTGAAAACAGAACTTCTGTTCAATATTTGATCTACTATATTCTGTTCTTGAACTGTGGTCTTCAACTCCCGAGTGGTAAAATCCCTAAAGGGGATCCTTGTTACAGGAATTGTAACTTTAGTCTGTGTGTTTACACTGTGTAGCCCAGTGCAGTCCTGCTCCATGACTGGGGGTTATAAGCACTATAAATAATCCTCACTTGCAGCAGGCTCTCAAATATAGATGTGTTTGAAATGAACTCAGATGTTTTTCAGCCATGTCTGTGTGTTCTTGCACAGCCCCTCTCACACGGAGTAAACACCAGAAACACAGACAACTCCTTCACTTGGACAGTTGCAGGAGCATGAAGCAAGAATTGGGTCACCATCCACAGGCTGATCCAGTGCTGATATTGCTGAATAAAGCAGGGCCTTCAATTCTGGCAGAGCTGCTTTTCTGGGGGATAATAAATATATATTCCAAGGATATATGGCTTTCAAACGCTAACTGACAATAAATTGACTGTGAGAGATGGTTTTTCTGAGCACAGAGCCTGTACCCAAACTGATTTACAGGTGCCCAGTGAGGTGGGACTTAATTCCCTGCTCCTCCATTTGCTGAGATCAGGAAATGGTCAAAACTTGTCCCTGCTCCAGTCCAGCCTGTGTGCTTGGGCTTCTTTTCTATGGAAACTGGAGCGTGATGAGGGGCTGATGTGTGTTTGGGGATTGTCCAAATGTGGAGTTCATGTCTCCAGGGCACGCACCCAGACCAGGAACTCAGGGACATTCCTTCGGCCCTCATTAGGCGTTGCCAACAACACTGACAATAATTAGAATGAGGACTATGGAAAAGTGAGCTGAATGAATATGGAAATTGCTCCTAGAGACATAACAGCATCAGATATGAAAGAATTAAGTCTTTACAAAGAGGAATCCATTGAGCATTGGAGAGCTAAGCCTGGTTTAATCAATTGGTGCATCAATGAAGTGAT